TCTGTCAAATTTTAAAAGTCAATGCGGCCCCTGAGCCAAAAAGTTTACCCACCCCTGGTCTATGCAATGGTTCAGCTACCGTTGCTTTGTGGGGTAAAAACACATTATAGAAATTGATAAGTCCAAGGAACGCCTGTAGGTCTGCCTTGTTCCTAGGAGTGGGTGCCTTTTTAATTGCTCGTAATTTGTCTTCGGTGGGATGAGTTCCTTGGCTGTCCAGGAGGTATCCCAAAAATTCTACTTTTTCGGTACATAAGTGGCATTTATCTTTTTTTACTCTGAGGCCTGCATTTTGGAATCTTCGTAAAACCTCTCTGAGTCGTTTTTCTAAAATGTCTTTGTTAGGTGCAGCGATGAGTACATCATCGAAATATGGGACAACACCTTTTATCCCTTGTAACAACCTTTCCATTAAGCTCTGGAAGATTCCAGGGGCGACGCTTACTCCGAATTGGAGCCGGTTGCATTTAAATGCGCCCCTATGTGTTACGATCGTTTGCGCCTCGGCTGTGGTTGGGTCTACAGGCAATTGTTGATACGCCTGGGCTAAATCTAGTTTGGCGAAAACTTTCCCGCCGCCCAGAGAATGGAGTAAGTGTTGCACTACCGGTACTGGATAAGCACTTTGCTGCAGTGCGTGGTTTAATGTGGCCCGGTAGTCTCCACAAATTCTTAGGGACCCATCAGGCTTGATAGGCGTTACTATTGGGGTTTCCCAACGGGTGTGATCGGTGGGTTCCAGTACGCCCTGCGCTATCAGCTTATCGAGTTGTTCGTCGATTTTAGGTTTTAAGGCGAACGGCACCCGACGCGGCTTAAGGCGGATGGGTGCTATTTCAGGGTTCAAGTTAAACGAGATTGGGGTCCCCTTATACTTGCCTAGTCCGTTCGCGAAAACGTCTTGGAATTCTTGCACGAGTGCTTCCTCCCAATCAACGCTTTCTGCCTTGTGGACTCCGGCTACAGTGATTCCGAGCGGCCTGAACCATTGTAGGCCTAGAAGACTAGGCCTGTCTCGATCCACGACAGTCAGTGGTAGTGCGACGGTGCGGTCCTTGAATGTGACCTGGAATCTGCGGGACCCGACAACGGGAATTCGGTTGCCCTGGTAGTCTTTGAGTATAACCCTCTGAGGGTTAAGGTCTTGGCGGCGAATCGTTGGAAGGAGCTGTTGGAGCGTTTTCCACGACACCATAGAGAGGGAAGATCCCGAGTCTACCCCCATCACGCAAGGTTTGTTTTCGATGGCGACCTTTACTCGGATTTTCCCGGCATCAAGGGATGTAGCGTGGCCTATGGTGATTGTTTGGTGGGTCTCTTCCCGCCTGGTTTCCTCACGCCTGGTGGAAGTGGTGGACGGCTTGTTTCTGTAGGAGTGGTTCACTTTTTCTCGGTGTGTGCCGAAGAATCCGGAAGACTGGAATTCGGCCTGTCGGGGTTTGGAGTTCTGTTTGCTTCTGCAAACCTTTGCGATGTGACCGCGTCTCCCACAATGGCGGCAAAGTGCGTCAAGGAATTTGCAGCCGGATCATGGGTGATTCGCTCTACAGCCGGCACACGGTCGAAATGAGTGTTGTGAGGACTGTTCTCTCTCCGTTCGAAGTCGGTTGACCTCTTCCTCATTGCTGTCGGACGGGGACTCTAGGTCTTCGTGGTAAGTTGATACCGGGTGTCTCTCTGAGCGAGGTGAGGTATCAGTGGCGAGTTTACGTAGCGGTGCGTTGGTGCGGCGCATTTGGGCTGCTGACTTTTTTGTCGCCTCTGCTGCCGAGGCTTCTTTAAGGGCATCGGTGAGGCTGATGTCCCCCTTAGCCATAATTTTGCTCTGGATAGCGCCGTCTTCTAGGCCCAGAACCAAACGGTCCCGGAGGGCTTCTTCCAGGTCGGCGAACCTGCAGAGGCCTCCTAGGTTCCGGAGGTCCGCGATGTAATTGGCAAGGCTTTCGCCCTTCCGTTGATCCCTCTGGTAATATTCGTGTCTTCTTACTAGGGTTGGTACGGAGGGCGCGTAGTGAGCCCGTAGTAACGGCTCGAGGACGTCCCAGTCCATTTCTTTTACCTCTGCTGGCTTGGCAAGCGACTTTGCCATTTTAAACACGGTTGGCCCACAATGCGT